GGTGGCAGAGCATGGAACATGGCAGGTGTTGGCCGCAGTGAGATGGTGGAGCAGGTGAGCAGGGGCACCAGACCAAGGCAGGGCACTGGTCACTGTCATTGGGGTGAGCCTCTGGTGGTTACTGAAAATTCTTTGCTTCTGCGCACCATGGTCCTGCCTGGCACGCGCACCCGCTGCCGGCACCCAGCGCCAGCCCCAATGGCTCGGAGCCGTCAGCAGTTGGGAGCAGTCAGTGGGTGCGAGCAGTGGCTGCTGGCCCCGATTACCCCTCAGGGCTTTTCCACCTCCCCCTGTTCCTAAGGGGCGATTGGGGCAGCAGTCCCCACTCACACCCACTGCTGGCGCAGGCCCCAATTGCTCTGCGCCCTCAGCGGGTGTGAGCGGGGCCAGCGCTGTCAGTACGTGGGAGTGGCAGTGGCAGGAGCGGGGCTGTAGGTAGAAAGGGGACTGGGGGCCATGGAGGATGGGCGGAGACCCACCCCTGTGCCCACTGCAACCTCGTAGCCCACAGTTTCTTTCAAGGTGCACAAATTCGTGCACTGGGCCCCTAGTGATCATCATAAAAAATGCCTTCTATAAGAAGAGACTTTCATAATGTGAACAGTCTGACTGTAACCTATTGTGTTTGTTTAGCTAACGGCCTCTGTGTGTCCCAGTCTCATGACTGAATGCCCAAGTACTCCACCTCAACTCTCACCTACTCGGTAAAGCCTTACCCTGCCACCCAGGTCTTACAGTTTATATTCTTTCATCTCTGCACTAAATTTTAACATGGTCTGTGTCCTACAGTTCAGCTCTTTTCAATGTTCAATTCCTGCAATGCTTAAAAAAAATAATACTTAATACATTAAAAATGTTTCTCTTGCTGCTTCCCTTCTTTTCTATATTTCTGTCATTGCAACCTTCAGTATATTTATAATAAGAATTTCAGGTATAGGTTAATAGGTGTCACTGTGAGAAATAAAATTTAAAAAGCTTACCATTCTTTTAAAATTGATTAACTGATTCGTTCACACACCGTGCCCCCCCCTTCACTTATATTATTAAAACTATTAGATGTTGGGTCAAGAAGAGAAAACAATTATTAATTTTGCTTAGAGAAGAATAAACTGTAATGGTGGGGATTTTGAGGGAAAGCAGGAGACAAGTCACCTTACAGGTGATATAATCGAGTTAATTTATTCTGAGCAGGTATGTGTCAATATTTTACTAAAAAACAAAAAATTTATTCTGAGCAGGTATGTGTCAATATTTTACTAAAAAACAAAACAAAACAAGTGCAGTGCACTGAACTGACCTGTTTAAAAAAAAAATATGGAAAGCTGAGTAGAAGCAGCCCAGATCCCTAAAGGTCAATTTATGGAAGGATCAATTAGTTCAATGTCCATACTACCCCCCAATTTGCCAAATGTGCAAGTTACCAAAAACTTAGAGTACTCTTGAAAATATCCAATGACTATTAAGGTATTTTTTATGAATACCACATGGAATATTTTTATTCTTCCAGGTATTATTTTCCAATATTCTAATTCAAAACATTCATATTTAACATATTCTAGAATGCTTTTATTCATGAATGCGTTTCATAAATGTATTTACGTTTCTTTCAAAACATCTTGAAATTATGGTAAGATAAATCAAACTTTCTATTAATTGGAAAGCTAAGCTCATAAGAAAGTAGGTGAAATCATGTAAGGAGAGTGGGAACTCAGGCTAGAACCCTGGATGCCTTAACATTTATAAGTTGAACAGAAGATGAGAAGTCAGTGAAAAGAATCCTAGAAAGAATAGACAGGCCTGGCCAGAGTGGCTCAGTTGGTTGAGGTCGAAAGGTTGCCAGTTCGATTCCAGGTCAGGGCACATGCCTGGGTTGTAGGTTCAATCCCTGGTTGGGCACCTACAGAAGGCAACAGATTAATGTTTCTCTCTCATATCGATGCTCCCCCCTCCCTTTCTGTCTTTAAGCATGTCCTCAGGTAAGGAATTAAAAAAAAAAAGGCCAGTGAGATAGGAGTGCATGATGTCAGAAAACACGAGATGGAAGTGTTTCAAAGTAGGGAGTGGTTGGCTGTGATGAACAGCACTGAGAGGGTAAGTAGAAAAAGAGGAGAAGGTACCATTGGATTTGCATGAAGATTGCAGTTTCATTAGTGTGGTAGTGAAGAAACCAGAGGGAAAGGTTATTTGATGGTAGGAATGGTTTATTGGAGAGGGAACAATTGGTGATTCAAGAGAGGGAAGAGGATAAGATCCGCAGAAGTGGAGGCATTGGTATCAGATACTGAGCTTCTTTTTTAAAAAAATAATTCTTTATTGTTGAAACTGTTACATATGTATCCCCTCTTCCCCCATTGGCCCCCTCTAGCACGCTTCTCCCCCAGCCCCCCCAAAAAAGCCTTCAGCACTGTATTGTCTGTGTCCATGGATTATGCATATATGCATACAAGGTCTTCAGTTGATTACCTCCCACCCATCCACCCTCCCCCACCTTCCCTCTCAGATTCTGCACTCTGTTCCATTCTTCAAGTCTCTGGATCCACTCTGCTCATTAGTTTGTTACTTAGATTCCACATATGAGTGTGATCATGTGATACTTGTCTTTCTCTGACTGACTTATTTCACTTAGCATGATATTTTCCAGGTCCATTCATGCTGTCACAAAGGGTAAGAGAGCCTTCTTTTTTACTGCTGCATAGTATTCCATGGTATAAATGTACCACAGCTTTTTTATCCACTCATCTACTGATGGCATTTGGGCTGTTTCCAGATCTCAGTGATTCTAAATTGTGCTGCTATGAACATAACGGTGCATACATTCTTTCTGATGAATGTTTCAGGTTTCTTAGGATATAGTCCTAGAAGTAGGATCACTGGGTCAAATGGCAGATCCATATTTAATTTTTTGAGGAAACTCCATAATGTTTTCATAATGGTTGCACCAGTCTGCATTCCCACCAGCAATACTAGGGTTCCCTTTTCTCCACATCCTCACCAGCACCTGTCATTTGTTGATGGTAGCCATTCTGTCAGGTGTGAGATGGCACCTCATTGTCATTTTGATTTGCATCTCTCAGATGATTAGTGACATTGAGCGTGTTTTCATATGCCTCTTGGCCATCTTGTCCTCTTTGGAGAAGAGACATTGAGTTTCTTGAAAAATGAGACCATGTCTTATTTGTACTTGTATCTCTAGTATCTCCCAGCACATATTAGGCACTCAAGAAGTATTACTGAATTATTGAACAAATGAACGAATGGAAAAATAGATGGATGGCAGGTGCAGGGCTGGAAAATGAATGATATCAAACTAAAACTTCAGAGTAAGGAAAAGAGAAGAGGTCCTGGATTAATAAGGTATCTTCAGGGACTTTGGGATCCTGGGTCTTGTCTCTGGGATAGGGTAGACAGATTTCAAACTCAGATGAAGATGAGAAGGAATGTGACTACTGAAGGCGGTTACCTTAGCTAACTTTCAAGGCACGGATCTGCTAAAACCAACTGCAGTGAGGGTTCTGGGACCATTTACTTTCTTTCTCTTTTTCCAAATCCAGGCTCATATGAAAAGTGATTATGTGTCTTTACAGAGCCAAATGGGAGGAGGTTCTAATAAATGACAGTGCCACATTCAGTTACCCATCCGGCCGATAGCTACCCACTGAATGACAGTCTTGTATGGAGGGAAAGGTATAAGGGCAGGGTTACGCGGGGCTCATCTGCTTGTTTCTTTTGCTTATGGGTGTGTGTTATTTATTTTTATGAATGCTTGCCTTCTATTGAGATAGCAGCTGATTTCACGAACTGCACAGGCGAGGTGGTGTTTGAACTGGGCCACCCCTAGTCTTGGTGGGACTCCCCTGTGGGTGAGTCGGTGTTGCAGAAGGCGGCTTTGTGGAATGGAGAAAGCAGAGCATGGAAGCAGGCCCGTCCTGGAAACACAGGACTCCAGGCCGGCTCCAGCGTCTTCCAGCCCTTTCATTAGGAAAGGATTTAGGATTCCTATTTTTTCCCAGTTTGCAAGTGGACGTGGAGGCTGAGTTGGAAGCTAGCCTTGGCGTCTGCTCCGATGGTTTTGCCCCGCCACGTCCTACGCGGGTCTACGTCCCTCGGGGTTTCCTAGCAACCTCCCGGGCCCGCCTGGCAACCTCCCGGGCCCCTGGGTGCCCAGGTTGATTACACCGGGCTGCAGCCGAGTGTCGCCTTCGGGAAGCAGGAAGAACGGCATCCGCCCGACCCTCGGGCCCGTTACACGTGGGATCTCCCGAGCCGTCCACCCTGCGCGACACCAGGCGAGGGCGGGGCCTCGCGGCGCCAATGGGCGGGCAGAA